TGGCAAGTTTTTACAGGCCTTCTTTCAGTCAGCCTCTCCCCTCCTCCCCCCACCAAAAAATACCCCCAAACCCTGTATAAGAGATGTACCTTGTAGCATGCCTTGAAAATCACAAATCTGCTTCTGCTAAACTGAGGAGGAAGCAAGATCAAGGTTCTCTGCTGAGAATGGTCTTCTGTCAGGTCAGCTCAAGTGTTCAAGCTGTTCAAAAATATTAAGAGTAAAATACAGAAAAAGAGGCTGTGTCTCCAACACACAGAGGAACCTAATGTCTATTTACATTTGGGTTATCGGCTTGTGGGGGCATATTTTTACAGTTATTTACCAGGCATGCTTTAAGTATAGCTTACTTAAAACACTAAAATAGGAGCTTTTTTTTTTCAAATGAAAGAGATGTTTTACAGAACCCCTTAGTATGCTTTCCTGGCTTCAATTATTACATTTTCCATCAATAGCTTTTATTTAATAATCCAAGTAACAAAAAACATAGACAAGTGTCTGACTTAAACTCACAAAAGCCAAGACATTCAGGGTATGTCTAAACTACAGAGTTTTGTCAGAAAAACATCCATAGAAGAACTGCAAATACGTTCTTCTGCAAAAAAAATCAGAAGAACAGAGGATTTTTTCCAGAACTGGTAATCCTCATTCCACGAGGAAGAAGCCTTTTTGCAAAAGAGCTCTTTCACCAAAAGGCATGTGGGGACGAGGAAGAAGAAGTTATTTCAGAAGAAGAGGAAAGAGGAAAAAGCACAGGTGCCCTGCCATTCCATCTATAGCAATTAGAGAGCATCCATTCAGTCTGGATGCTCTCTTTGGAAAAAGCAGATGGTTTTTTTGATGCATTTTTTCAAGTGTGGACGCTCTCTTTCGGAAGAAGTTTCCCAGAAGATCTCTTCCGAAAAAAGCTTCTTCTGAAAAAAAGCCTGTAGTCTAGACGTAGCCTCAGAGTTCAAGCTTTCCATTCCTTCTTTAACTAAAGTCACCGTGTCTTGTTACTGCAGCAATCTAAAACCCATAAACAAGTTCTCATAGGAACCTACTGTCTTACATAGTATTATACATGCAGCAGGACTCCTAATTATATTAGTGAACAAGAGGGAAAACGAAGCATCATGTTAAAAGAGCCAAAATGATGGCGTTCAGATCTTCTTCATCATAAAACTGTTATTTAAGATGCCTTCTTTTTATGCTCCTAAGGAAATGCTATTGAGCCACTGGCTAAGTTTGAGGGTAAATACTTGTGAAATATTGCCCTAGAATCCATTCATTATTTGTTTTATTAAATTATTTTAACTTTTAATAGTCATTTCATTAGGAAGCAATGGAGGGACCAGCACACATGATGTATTGACTGAATTTTTTTAGTTTCATGGATTTGATTTCTAACAAATGGATGAGAGAAGACAGAAGGGCTGATCATATGATCAAGGCATCAAACCAGGGTCCAGGAAAACTGGATTGAATACATAGTTCTGCCATGAACTAGCTGCATGTTAATAGAATCAGAGAATCAGAGAACACTAGAACTGGAAGGGGCCTCGAGAGGTCATCAAGTCCAGTCTCCTGCCCTCACGGCAGGATCAAGCACTGCCTCTAGACCATCCCTAAGAGATGTCTATTCAACATGCTCTTAAATATCTCCAGAGATGGAAATTTCACGACTTCCCTAGGCAATTTATTCCAGTGTTAACCATCCTGACAGTTAGGAAGTTTTTCCTAATGCCCAGACTTGCATGGCCAAGTCTCTCCATGCCCATCTGAAAAACAGTGATAATAATACCTATTTTTTCTCACCTGTTTGTTTAGATTTTGAGCTAATAACAGGGACTGTCTAAGCCTCTGATTTGTACAAGAGCTAATATTATGGCGCTCCAGTCTTGGTTGGGGCCTTTTCTGCAAGAGCAGAAAGGGAGCTACCATAACACATACATAATATGTGCCTATATCAATAGACCAACTCCCTGTGGAGCCAAGACTGGAATCTAATCCAACTCTGAAACATAATTCAATTGAAGGCAAGGATGCATTTTTTTCTGTTGGTTGGCCACGTTTGAGCTGATCACAATAACTTAATAAAATCAATGAGTGAATCCATATTGTTCATTAGGAGTATTACTGTAATTGAGAGATAATTAATGTCTACTTTTTTATTTCCAAGAAGGAAAACAAATTTGTTATGTTCAGTGTCACTAGTGTGAAGGATCCATCATGAAGTAAATGGAGGTGACTGAGACACTTTCATTATCTATGGATCATTAGTGTAGTACACCATAATGGCTTCTCAAGAGCCATTATGGCGCATCCTGTGAATACATACTGGCATAGTCTGTAATACATGAATAACTGACATTTTACAGCAAACTATTTAATAATTTGGTAGATCTACAGCTAGTTCAAAATGCAGCTGCCCACTCTCCTCTCATCTACCACGTATCTCATAGTGATTTCATTGTGCCTGGGGTGTTTTTGAAGAAGCCATAGGCACCATCATCTGGCACAGGGAAGAGAGATCTTGCCACTCCTTGCTGCACGTACCTTTGCACACCACATGCCTAGAGCTGAAATTTCAGGAAGGCCCAGTTAGTTATTTTCAAATAGATTTGATGCCGCTCCTCCCTTTCTCTTTATTAAGGAGTGGAAACTGGATACGTTTAATTTGCATTTTTTAAAGTTTAGTCCATTTCATCTAATGCCCAGCAACATTCTCAAGGTTCAGAATCCCTGCACTTGACCTACTTCCCACCCGCCCTTTATGCCTGTTTGTATTTTGACATCTCCTTAAAGTCCTTTCTTGCTAATTAGTCGTGTGGTTTTTTTAAAGCAACGTAAGTCTTATCTTCCTGTGTAACAAATAAGCATGTTTGTTTGACGCAGAGAAAAATGGATGTAGATAGAAGTACAGGTTTTGTTTCAGGCTTTCAAAGGAATGATTGCAATTAGACATACTAGCAGCATCCTTTTTGCACGTTAGTCACCAGAGTAACCTGTAACAAAATAAATATTGTTTCTAAATGAATGTTCTCATTTTGGGACTTGTCTGATTATATGAGAATCCATTACCTCCTATTAGCAAGGTGCACTCTGCCCTCGATTACTAAATATGTTCAGGGCTAGAATGAGGTTGGCTGGCAGTGGCCCAGCAAACTGATACTTCTTTTGAAGGCTGTCATCTTTGAAGGTTCACTTTTCTGAGCTTTTATTTTTAAAAAAGCAAGCAGACTTTCAAAGTTCAAACGCTCTCCTTTACTGGTAAATAAGTGCATTTACATAGTATTTGAGTAGGAGTTTATAGATAGTTAAGTGCCTCTCTGTTCTGAAAATCAAGTCGCTCAGTTACCCCATAGACACTGGGTGTGTGGTGAAGTATTGAACAGATGGGGAAATTGTATGTTTACTTAAGAGAAATGTTTAGACAGGGATATGGAAATACTGTGTGGGCCCTGAGTTGATGGAACATTAGTTTGGTGGCCTCTTGTCTCATTGTTTCTTCAAGATTCACTCTCTGCTGCTGGATTCTGAAGAAATAGAGATATACTCCTCCATTTGATATCTACTTTGTCATGATATTAGTGTGTGTTTACTGATTACTTGATATTTAATATGCTGCCTAAACATTTAATGAGAAGCTCTTCAGAGGTCTTCTCCTAAAGTACTTCACACATCTTAGGGAAGAGATTAAAAAAGGACTCCCTCTCAGGAGAGTCAGATTGTGCTGAATAATGGTGAGATATTATATAATAATGAATTTGTATGCATTCACCCTATAGAACATATGTAGTAACACAGTGATTTGCAAACTTGTTCCATTTTGTGATCTTTTCCCCATACTTCAAGTTTTTCCCCTCATCTTAAGCTCCTTATATTATACAGCTAGGAAATAGATAGACCTTATATCATTTAGTAATGGGAGAAAGATAAGTTGAACACTTGTTGATATCTGTTTGTGAACCCCTGGTAGAGAACACTGTATCATCTGATCAGAGAGTGATATTCCACTGCAAGCTTGCCAGATATGTAGAAATAACAATCCTTTGCTAATTATTCACTTCACCATCACCACTTTTAGCACATAAGAAAAGCATCTTTCTTGTGGCAGAGAGAATTATGCATATTTATTTCAGGAACTGATCAAAAGAATGACATACCCAGATGTGATCGGCCACTGAAAAAAGGAAGTATTGAGAGAATCACTGTGAGAGAGGGTGAACACTTTTCAGTAGTATTGTTCTAAAACAAACATTTGATTCCCTACTTGGAGAAAAATCAAATTTAGGATAAATGGCTGTTTGAAATAAACCACACACACACACATACACAAAAAGAGATCCAATCTGCAGCTGAACTTTTTCTACTTTTTCCATCTCTCTTTCCATCATCCATTGTTTTCCCAAGGTGGAATATGAACTAGAAAATTCACTGGTTAAATGGCTGGAACTACTTTGCCCAACTGCTTGCATTAAACTTATTGGCTACGTCTAGACTGGCATGATTTTCCACAAATGCTTTTAACGGAAAAGTTAAGATTTTCCGCAAATGCTTTTAATGGAAAAGTTAAAGTCTAGACACAGTCTAGACACAGCTGTTGAGAAACAAATACAGAATTACATCAGTCCAACAAAAACCTAAAGTGCCTTTGTGAAATGGTACATTGAAAGAACCCTTCTTACCTGCTTGAGAATATGTTGGGTTGATGGCTAGGAGAAGGTTCCCTTAGAACTGCTGAAGAAAAAGTGTCCCTAAAAAGGCTTTTCTCCTTTCTCTTTTCCTTTCTGTTCTTGTGTTTTCTTTACTTAATCGTCTTTCTTCTTTCAATAAGTAGTTGTTGCTATGAAAAATGTGGTTCCACGAATCCCTCTATCTTTCTACCATTGCTGAGGTGACCTGGCATAGGTACACACTACTTAATTTTAATGATTGAGCTTTGACTGGTTTATAGATATGCTAAGGAGGATGCTGAAGTCATGTAATTAATTCTCTTGAACTTCCCTCAACAGGACCTTGATGGTTTGGAGAGTGGAAAGATACCAAAGATAGAACAAAGACAACCAATGAGAGCCTTTAAAACACAGAGGCCAGGTGGGTCAGGTGAAACAAGAATCATAAAGGAAGCTAGCAGGAGAGGAGATGGGGGAATTGATTAACCAATATCAGAATAGATAAAAGTGGAGAAAGAAATCCCTGTACCTATAATAGAAAGCTATGTCTAGATTGCATGCCTTTTACGAAAAAGGGATGCAATCTAGACGTAGCCGAAGAATTTAGGATGGTCCCAAAAAACCTTGAGCACAGATGAAAAATACTGTGCAGTGGTGAATAACTGAGGCAAGGAAATGCATATGTTTATTACTTTTGAATAGGTCTGTATGCATCTCATGTTTATACATGTTGGGAAATGTCCATAGAAATTAGAAACAACTGAGTTGTTAAATGCATATTTTAGGAGTTTGTGAATGTAATAAAAAAGATTTGGTTGTAAAGCATCACCATCATGGGTGGTAACTTTTTATTTAATTGACATTTCAGTAATTCACTAATTGTTCAAACATCTAACTTTAGAATTACTGCTGTTAGAACTGACAGTTCTGTAACTTTTGATTGATATAAAGTTTGACAAATTGATGGAGACTTGTATTGAAGAACCAAAGTTCCATTTTGTTACACAAGATCACCTCCACAAAATAAAGAATTAGAATACATTTACTATTTGATAAGAAGACTGATTTATTATGTTTGGATTTATTACTTCTTGATAAGCTTTAACATCATAAATTAAATTCATGCATTTAGACACTCTCATATAATTATACTTAGTTTACTTTCTGCAATTTCTTATTTATCTTTAAAGTGTATTTTGATAAGAATTCTCAAGTCTGCACATTAGCTAAAACAACCTGAAATTAATGAATTAATGATAAACATGCTATGGTTGATTGGCTAATTAAAAGTATTTAATGAATGTGAGTTTTTTATGTTTTATTTTCTCTTATACTCTCAAACCTTGCAATTTTCTCACACAACTTGTTCTTCGCTCATATAGTCATCTTTGGCTGCTGAATGTGATGAAATATGGAACCTTAGTCTGCTATTATAACAGCCTGAAAACAAAGGTGATGTATTTTTCACAGTTGTAACCCAAAAAGCTTTCTCTAGCAGGGAAAGGACACATACAAACACATATGTGCATGCACCCTCCCCACACACTCTTTTTTTCACTTCCGTTCTCCATATTATGACCTGACACATATTAGATCAGTGTCCTCTTGTGAAGCAAGAGGTCTATGATAATGAATGCCAATGCGTGTTACATACAGGCAGGGATTTGCAGCTCACCTTTCTATGCAGTTTCCTCAAAAGTCTGCCTGGTTTATGAATAGACTATTCAAGTTGTCACAAGCTTTCAGTATCAAGTAAAGAGAAACTTAGGTCAAGCCATATTCAGCAACAATTTCAAATGTTACTCTATTCCTTAAAAAGACAGTAATTCCCTCCAGAGAACTTGAAAATCCTTGCATATTTCCTTTTTCTAAGGCTATATTTCCTTTTTTCCCCCAGTGTTTATTTTTGCTTTAGAAAGCAATAGGGTTTAGATTTACACATAGCCTTATATAAAGAGAGATGAACTGCCTCACTGTCTCAGAGGAAGAGATTCTATCTCACACAAGTATCATATCATATCATATCATATCATATCATATGTAAACAATCCTCCCCAAGATTCTCAGCACACTTGAGGTATGTGGGCTGCAGCTGGTTGCATTGTGGGAGGGCTGCACCAGGGTTCTGCCTCTTCCTTAGCCATAATGAGGAGATAAATGCTTTAAAGAGGAAACTGTCCCTCCATATTCCCCAATGGATCTCCAAAAGCCAAGTCACCACCTTGCTCATGTTTTATAAATATGTCTGGTAGAAGTTCCTGGCTCTTTTAAAATTTAATAGCTATTGGTTTACTTTCCAAAGCAAAGGATCTAAAGTTAGGCATCTAAATACCTATGTCTGACACTTATGTGGTGATGTAAAGGAGTATATCAGCATTTTAGTGCCTAATTTTAAACACCTGTGTCTGATGATTGTATCTATTAATACAACTGTACAAATGCCTATTGTTATTCAAGTACAGGAGGGTAACACGTAATATTTCTTAACATATATTTTAATGTTGCTTTGACTTGCCAAACTGGATCAAGCCAATAGTCTCTGGGGTTTCTCTGTAGAGTGGAGTGGCCTACTAGTTAGAACACTTAACTACTATCCAGGGGAGCTAAGTCAGTCTCAGCTTTGTCACTTAACTGTTGGGTAGCTGTGGGCAAATCTGTGTGTCCCAAGGTTTCCTTACATGGCTTCCTTTGTAAAACACTTTGAGACCTACTAATGAAGAGCTGATTTTTTTGTCTATTCCCAGTCCATAACTCAACTGGCCAGCACCAGATACTTCAGAGAGTGGTACAAACTATCATGAAGAATCTGCCTCGAAAAGTTTCCAGTTAATTGTCAATTATTATGCTGCAAAACATTCAGAATGATAATCTGCATAGGAACTATGTTACAGAATTGAAAAAAAATTAAATGCAATGTGTTTTCCTTACACAGTTGAAGGAATAAAAACAGATTTTAAAGCAGAAAGAAAAAAAAAAGGAAATAAAGATTATTTCTTATGTAATACATTCAAGACGTGTTGTCCCTATGTGTGCTCCACTTCAGAGGTGCATGAGTGTAATCACCTGTTCGGTGTCAGTATCTACATGGTCTGCTCCTGACAGTACATAAAGCAAAGTGAATCAGTCACCCCTCCAGTTCCTCTTCCATGCTGAGAACCAACCTTATGGCAGGACTCTGAAGTAGACAGGAAAAAGAGTGAGTAATGAAGGGTATGTCTCACAGTAATCTATGCAACTTGAGCTATGTTAATTGCATAGCTGAAGTCTAAGTACCTTAACATGAGTTTTGGCATTTTGGGTATGTCTACACTAGTCCCCTAGTTCGAACTAGGGAGGCTAATGTAGGTATTTGAAGTTGCAAATGAAGCCCGGAATTTAAATATCCCGGGCTTTATTTGCATCGTCCCATCCGGTCACCATTTTGAAATTTCACTAGTCCGGACAAACTGCCTGCGGCTACAAGTGGCAGGGAGCCGGTAGTTCAAATTAACGCACTAATTTGAACTACCTGTTATTCCTCCTGCATGGAGGTTTAACGGTAGTTCGTATTAGGGGCTTTAATTCAAACTACCATTTCACTGCCAAGTATAGCCGCGGGCAGTTAGTCCGGACTAGTGAAATTTCAAAATGGTGACCGGATGGGACGATGCAAATAAAGCCCGGGATATTTAAATTCCGGGCTTCATTTGCAAGTTAGAATGCCTACGTTAGTCACCCTAGTTCGAACTAAGGGGCTAATGTAGACATACCCTATGAGATTTGGAGTGGTATTTCTGTTGTCAATGGCAGATGAAGAGGTGGCCAAAGTGACAGGTATATCAGTCCCAAGAACCAGAATGGATTTGTCCTGTTTCATATTTTTTCAGGAATTTAAGAAGTAACAGAGTGGGAGGAATACCATCCTGCAGAGATCCTGGATATGGAATGAGGAATGTATCCCAGGAGAACTGAAGTCAGTGCAGGCCGGACCATCGCTTCCTGCTGCTTCCATTGGCTGGGAATGGAGAACCACAACCAATGGGAATGGTGAGCAGCCGTGCCCTGTGTACATTCATAAGAACATAAGAACGGCGGTACTGGGTCAGACCAAAGGTCCATCTAGCCCAGTGTCCTGTCTACCGACAGTGGCCAGCTCCATGAAATTATCTAGCTTCTCTTTAAACTCTATTATAGTCCTAGCCTTCACAGCCTCCTCTGGCAAGGAGTTCCACAGATTGACTATACACTGTGTGAAGAAGAACTTTCTTTTATTAGTTTTAAACCTGCTACCCATTAATTTCATTTGGTGTCCTCTAGTTCTTCTATTATGGGAACTAATAAATAACTTTTCTTTATCAGCCCTCTCCACACCACTCATGATTTTATAGACCTCTATCATATCCCCCCTCAGTCTCCTCTTTTCTAAACTGAAAAGTCCCAGTCGCTTTAACCTCTCCTCATATGGGACCCGTTCCAAACCCCTAATCATTTTAGTTGCCCTTTTCTGAACCCTTTCCAAGGCCAAAATATCTTTTTTGAGGTGAGGAGACCACATCTGTACACAGTATTCAAGATGTGGGCGTACCATAGTTTTATACAGGGGCAGTAAGATGTTCTGGGTCTTATTTTCTATCCCTTTCCTAATAATTCCTAGCATCCTATTTGCCTTTTTGACCGCCGCTGCACACTGTGTGGAAGTTTTCAGAGAACTGTCCACGATAACTCCAAGATCTCTTTCCTGATTTGTCGTAGCCAAATTAGCCCCCATCATACTGTACGTATAGTTGGGGTTATTTTTCCCGATGTGCATTACTTTACACTTATCCACATTAAATTTCATTTGCCATTTTGTTGCCTAATCACTCAGTTTGGTGAGATCTTCTTGGAGTCCCTCACAGTCTGCTTCTGTCTTGACTATCCTAAACAGTTTGGTATCATCCGCAAACTTTACTACGTCACTGCTTACCCCTTTCTCCAGATCATTTATGAATAAGTTGAAAAGGATTGGTCCCAGGACTGACCCTTGGGGTACACCACTAGTTACCCCTCTCCAATCTGAAAATTTACCATTTATTCCTACCCTTTGTTTCCTGTCTTTTAACCAGTTCTCAATCCAAGAAAGGACCTTCCCTCTTATCCCATGGCCATGTAATTTACACAAGAGCCTTTGGTGAGGGACCTTGTCAAAGGCTTTCTGAAAATCCAAGTATACTATATCTACTGGATTCCCCCTTGTCCGCATGTTTGTTAACCCCTTCAAAGAACTCTAACAGATTAGTAAGACAGGATTTCCCTTTACAGAAACCATGTTGACTTTTGTCCAACAAATTATGTTCTTCTACATGATTCACAATTTTATTCTTTACTATTGTTTCGACTAATTTGCCTGGTACTGAAGTGAGACTTACCGGTCTGTAATTGCCAGGATTGTTTCTAGAGCCCTTTTAAAATATTGGTGTCACGTTGGCTACCTTCCAGTCATTAGGTACGGAAGCCGATTTAAAGGATACGTTACAAACCACAGATAATAGCTCAGCAATTTCCCATGTTAGCTCTTTTAGAACCCTTGGATGAATGCCATCCGGTCCCGGAGATTTGTTAACATCAAGTTTTTCTATTTGTTCCAAAACCTCCTCTAATGACACTTCAATCCGGGACAGTTCTTCAGATTCATCACCCAAAAAGGACGGTGCAGATTCAGGAATCTCCCCAACGTCCTTTAGCCGTGAAGACTGAAGCTAAGTTTTTCTATTTGTTCCAAAACCTCCTCTAATGACACTTCAATCCGGGACAGTTCTTCAGATTCATCACCCAAAAAGGACGGTGCAGATTCAGGAATCTCCCCAACGTCCTTTAGCCGTGAAGACTGAAGCAAAGATATAATTTAGTTTATCCGCAATGGCTTTATCGTCCTTAATTGCTCCTTTTATAGCTCGATCATCTAGGGGACCCACAGGTTTCATGTAAACAAAGTCTGGAGGCTTGCCAGTAGATAGGCTGCAAGCCAGAGGATTATCATCTCTGGTTATGGAGTAGAAAATGCTCTGAGATTGAAATTAAGGTGAGATTGAATGTATCCATTTGCTCTGTACTATAAGGTTCTGAAGATGGGCACCTCAGATATCAGAGGCATAGTTATAGTTTCGGGGGAGAGGAATGTGGAAATGAGTGAATGGGGCTCCCAGATAAGCTTTGTGGGGACACTTTGACCAATCAAAGGACATAGGTACTTTAATAGATTTAGCTTGTTTAGGTGATGCTTGTAGGCCTCTCACATAGTCCTAAACCAGGCCTCAGGAATGTATTCGGCAAGAGGTTTTATGAATGATATAGCGATGTGACACAACAGTTGCAGGCAGCCTCTCATACCTAAGGCTTTAATTGAAGCTGGGGGAGGTTTGGCATTTTGAGGAATAATCCTCTAATCTTACTATTAATTAATTATTAGTAATTTAACAACAGTCTTTATTAGATACATAGCAAATATGCAGAGTAACTTAAGTCAGGTCAGTTTATTAGTCAAACCTAAAACTAAAAAGCCTTTTGCCACCATCAGCTCCTGAACCCTGATGATTCTATTCATTCTCAAAGCCACAATAACACCCTAACTCCTAAAAACAAAATAAACAAAAAAAAAACCAAAAACACAAAACCCCAGAACCACAACAACCTCCCCACAAACTTGTGTAGACGTATTTCCAAATTATCTTACCAGCTTTCTGTAAGTCTTTTCACAGGTCTCTTTTGACTCAGTGGCCATCAAACTTCTATATTTGCTTTGTTATTAAAATGCACTACTTGGAGGAATTATGTCATTTTCATTTTTGCTGGTCTTGTTGCTGCACTATATCATTTATTTCAGCCAAGTCTGCTTTTGCAGGTTACAATTGCAAGTGTCTGAATTTATCTATATTCTTGATTAGAGTCATGTCATTATAAGGCTAAGGTACTGTTTCATTAGAGTAACGTTGCAAGCCCAATTTCTGCTATTATAGATGGACTATGTATCATGTAAATGCAACTGAAAAATTATCTTTGTAACCAAGGTGGTATGTCCTTTTTGAAATATTAACTACTAGCTTATGGTCTGTTTCTCCCAGTAAAGATTTATCATATAAATGTGACATTTTTTGTGTAGAAAAACCATTGTCAAAAACTTTTTCTACTAGAGTACGTCAACATTCTGTTTTTGACACAGTTTAGATAAATAAGCAACTGGTTTCCATAGATCACCACACTTTGGTAATAGAATTACTCCTATGCCTTGTTTTGCCTGCCTCTGAAGACAAATGTTCCAAGTCTGTTACCATCAAATACTTTAATACTGGAGCTATTTTTATTAGTTGCTTAATCTTCTTAAGTTCTTGCTGATGCTAACAGTCTCATTTCCATCAATTATTTTTATACAGTAAAGCCCTTAAGTTTGTTGGCTTTTTCCTGGTAGATTTGTTATGTATTTTCATTAAAAAGTCAACTATATCCCCCAAAATTCTGTAATGACTGCTTATCTTTTGAGTAAGCAATATTATGAAGGGCTCCTATTTGTTATGGCTCAAGCTGTAATCACTATCTGGTCAATTTTTCTTCCTAGATTTGTTAATTACTGCAAAATAAATTTATATTTACTTTTTCAAAGTTTCAGTGTTGCTTCTCTCTATCTAGATAATGCTTCAGTTTGCTTTATATTAGGATCCACTGAAGTTGTTCCCCATATTGCTCTATCATCTATGTACACTACTGAGCTATCAGTATTTACAAAAATCTTTTGCATTATTCTATGAAATACCTATGGAGCCTAACATAATCCAAAAGGTAACCTTTGAAAATAGTAACATCAATAAGATGTGTTAAACATAGAAATCAATTGACTTTTTTGCTTCAATGGTTTTGTCCCAAATCCATCTGAAGCATCTACAGAAGAAAAGTATTTTGCTTCTGACATTTGTCAAAATATTTTTTGTCTGGTAGGTATTTTAAAAATGTTTCTTTTAACATATTTAATTCTTCTGGATCTAAACATAAACAAAGATCCATCTTTCTTTTATAAAAGCGACGAGGAGTCCTGTGGCACCTTATAGACTAACTGAAGTGTAGGAGCATAAGCTTTCGTGGGCAAAGACCCACTTCGTCAGATGCATCTGAAGCTTATACTCCTACACTTCAGTTAGTCTATAAGGTGCCACAGGACTCCTCGTCGCTTTTGCAGATTCAGACTAACACGGCTACCCCTCTGATATCTTTCTTTTATATTACTACTAAGAATTCACCCACACAGTCATAGAATCATAGAATAGTAGGACTGGAAGGGACCTCGAGAGGTCATTGAGTCCAATCCTCTGCCCTCATTGCAGGACCAAATCATCTCTTTTTCTTTGAATTTAATAAAGTTATACATTAATTAACCCTTTCAAATTCCTTTTATACCTTATTTTTCAAAGATAAGGGTATTTTTGTAGTTACATATATAACTGTTTCACTTAACTGTAGTCTTGCAGATCTTGCAGATTGCATTCCATTTACCAATGCTGGTGAATTACTCTGTAAATTGATGTTCTATTTCCAGTCTTCCAGTTTGAATTCCACCAATTAGTTTTACTGCTAAACTTGTTTTCAAACCTAAAATAGAGATACCTTGCCCCTTAACTGCTACCAATCTTGCGTTTTCTAAGTACAGGCAGTCCCCGAGTTACGCAGATCCGACTTATGTCGGATCCGCAGTTACGAACGGGGATTTTCTCGCCCCGGACGACGGGAGCGGCGGGACGCCCAGTCTTCCCATCCTTATATCTCTAACACGTTTTACTAGAAGCCATAGAATAAATATAATAAATACTGTAAATTCATTATTAACACGGTCTATTAAAAATCTTAGAATAAATACTATAAGTTCACCACTGTCATAAATAAATATTTTTTATTTGTTAAAACTGTCCACCTGGTTCTGTCCTTCCCCCCTTGGGTATTCATTATTGGACCTGTGATTCTCGCAACAGGGTGCAGTGTAGATGCACCATTAGTTCATGCATTTAACTTAGGCACACAAAACTCCCATATCTGGAGCAGATAGACAGAGAAAATAGGGGGTGGGACAGGAAATAACTAGAGGCTTCATTTCACCTGAATCTTGTGGTTAAGGCATATGCAGGGTTGTACATATGTGCTTCTCAATGCATCAACCCATGCTAACTTATGTACACACATTAGAGAATTTGTTTAGTTTATGCAGTGAGTCAAGGCTTTAGGGCCATAAGCGACCATCACAATCCAACCTCCTGCACATTGCAGGCTAGAAAAGCACACCCTCCTACTCATGCAGTAGTTCCATAAGCTCTGGTTGAGTTACTGAAGCTCTCCAAACTAGACTTACAGACTTTAAGTTACAGACCCACTTGAAGCAGACTTGCACAAGTAAAGGCAGTCCCCGGGTTACGTACAAGATAGGGACTATAGGTTTGCTCTTAAGTTGAATCTGTATGTAAGTCGGAACTGGCGTCCAGATTCAGCCGCTGTGGAAACTGATCAGTTTCAGCAGCGGCTGAATCTGGACGCCAGTTCCGACTTATATACAGATTCAACTTAAGAACAAACCTACAGTCCCTAACCCGGGGACTGCCTGTAATTATTAGATATGATTCACAACAGAAATTTTCACCACTTAAGAAGTTTGTAAATATATATTGTTTGCTTATTAAAATTTTAATTATTTCATGAAATTACTTCAGTTTGTACAACTGCATCTATTACAGACAAAATAATAATGCAGAGGGGAGTGTGACAAGGAAGTCAAGCTCAGTAGAAACTAGAAGGTTCCTCAGCAACAGTAGTCTTCTTGGTACTTGGAAGGCATACTGGAGAGCTGAGTTAGAAGCATTGAAGCCATCAGGCTAAGGATGGCAAAGGGATATGATCAGAATACCCTTTGGCTACATCTAGACTGGCATGATTTTGCGGAAATACTTTTAATGGAAAAGTTTTTCCGTTAAAAGTATTTCCACAAAAGAGCGTCTAGATTGGCACGGATGCTTTTGCGCAAAAAGTGCTTTTGCACAAAAGCATCTGTGCCCAGGATAGACGCGCTTTTGCGCAAGAAAGCTCCGGTGGCCATTTTAGCCATCAGACTTTCTTGCGCAAAAAATTAAAGTGCCTATCTACACTGGCCCTCTTGCGCAAGTATTCTTGCACAAGAGGGCTTATTCCTGAGCAGGAGCGTCAAAGTATTTGCTCAAGAACCACTGAATTCTTACATTAAAACATCAGTGCTCTTGTGCAAATTCAAGCGGCTAGTGTAGACAGCTGGCAAGTTTTTGCACAAAAGCAACTGCTTTTGTGCAAAATCTTACCAGTATAGATGCACCCTTTCTGTTTGTGCCCCACTGGAGAGGCTGGTACCAGTGGAATTGGTACCATTACTGAATTCTAGTAGTGGAATAATTTTGCTTGGTCCATTCTGAGACAGATATCCCCAGATCAGGTTGCCTTCTCACCTACTTTTCAGTGTGGCTTGAAGCAGAAGTCTTTTTAGTCAGTGCAGGCAACTTGGTACCTGAGGGTCTAAGAGTCTTGATTGAACTGCTTCTTAGGCATGAGGTCTTTTTGCTGCAAAATTTCTTAGGTGATTTGCCCCTTTACTTCAGTGACTATCACAGGATTTAGGTTTCTTTTTTGAGGTTTTGAGCTAATTTGTGGAGTTGATTGATGTTTTTTACCCAAGAGAGTAAGAACTATGGAAGCAAAGGTGCACACATATTGGATAGATAGATTTGCTATTGGTGAGAAGAAAAGACCATCTAAATATCTGGCATGGTTTTCGGAATATCCATCAAGAAAAGAGAAAAAAAAAGCTTCAATGAAAGAGAGACACTCAAAGGAAAGAGGGAGGGAAACCCAAAAGGGAAGGTGGAATTCTGTTAGGAAAAAAAAAAGACAAGTATGCAAGGCAAGTTAAAAAAA